CCCACGCAGCTCCCCGGCAGGGAGGTCTTCCCTGGCTGCTTTTGCTTCCTCCCAGGCCAGTTTTTGGCCGGCCGGGCTGTGCCGGGATCCAGTGGCACAGGTTGCTCTCCAAGCTCCCTTATTTATAGCTCGATGATGCCATGGGATGCTGCCAGCTCCAGAGCCCGGGCCAGCGTTCCTCCTCAGCGGATGCTCCCCAGCTTTGTCAGGCTCGCCCAAAACACGCGGGGCAGGAGCTGGACCGCAGGCTCCCCACGAGCCTCAGCCCGGCACCTGGGAGGGCTGGTGGCCGTAAAACGAGCCAAGTGCTGGGTGTTCCTTTGCCGTAGAGCCCTGGGATTGTTATCTGGGGCAAAAGCAGGGGGTTGCAGCCCGCTGGCAGCAAACACTTGGGAATACAGAGTGTTTTGTGCTGCTGGGATGAGCAGGGCTGAGCCAGGAGCAGGCTGGGGACACGGCTGTTGCGTAAGCAAGACATTAAAATATCCTCTTGACTGTTTTGCCCGTGTTTCCTCACCCAGATGGAGTGGAAATGTAGCAATAGTGCTGACTTTCTGCTCGCAGGACTCGGTGTGAGGCCCTCAGTTTCCTGCAGAGCTGGAGAGCGGCCGTGGACGTTGTTTTCCCTGGGATCTGCCTGGAAATGGCGCAAACCCGCAGAGGGCGGTGGAGCCGAGAAAATCGCTGCCTGCACGTTCCAGTGCTGGGCTGGCAGGAGTCAGCAGTGCTGCCATGTGGTCTGGATGTGGCCCCAGGTGTTTCAAGTGTGGTGGAATAGCTGCATTCCGAGGGAAAGAGAGGAGCAGCGTGGGTGTGCAGCAAAGAGGAACCGAGTGGGGAGAGCGGGGCTGGGGTGAGAGGGTGTTTTCCCAGCTGCCAGCAGCAGGGAAGGCAGCACAGCCCATCGTGGGATGCTGTTAGAAGTGGTTTAACCCTCCCAGAAGGAAATATTTTTGGCTCTCTGGGGCTGATTCACAGGGAGGGACCTAGCAGGTCATGTGTTGGGGACAGGCCCAGGATCAAGGCTCCCTGGGAGCCAGCAGTGGGGTTTTGCCTCCCTGTGAGGCTGCTGGGTGTAGAGAGAGCAGGCAGGAGGTGAATCATCCCGCTCACGTGCCAGGGCCTGGCATGGGCTTGCCTGGTCCTGGCTGGTGTTTGATCTATTTTATTCTCAGCCATGCCCTGGAGGGCCAGGACTTTTGCTGAGGGCTGAGCCCGGGCGGGAGGAGGGATGGGGAGAGCTCCGAGCTGAGCCCGGGCGGGAGGAGGGATGGGGAGAGCTCCAAGCAGG